GATAGCGTATGCTCACCATAAGCTTTTAACAACTTATACTGTTCAATGTAACTTCCATGTAGCTCATCTTTAATAATAATCTTAGATCTTTGACACTTGTATATAGAGACATCAACTTCCATTTCATACTTAACATGCTTAGCAAGTTGTGTACTAGTTAAATGTGGAGCAATTGTCACTAATGTCCTTAATGCATTTATTAAGAATGGTCGTGTCACTAATCTATTCTTATTAGTTTTAAAGCATGCATGCTTTCTATAATATGTCTTAATCTTGAAACAATTGTAAGCATTGTCAAAACCAACATAGATTTCCCAAGGACAACCATGCTTAACATCACAAGCATACCATGTCTTCCCGGTTCATTCTTCTTCTAATGGCGATTGCATCCTTTTTTAACAGAGTATTTGGCAATGGCTTCTTTAAATTGAATTGCATTTTCAAAAACCATTCCAACTTCAAAGTGTGGAATTTCATAGTTAGGATCATAATAAAGGTCACTACTTGCAGTCCTTAGTGCATCATCATTCACAAATGAGTCCAAGTCCTCAATCGAGTTATCACTATAGTCGCTACCAGGATCACTACTATTAACATATTCAGTGTCCCTATCACTAAAGTCAAAATCACTATTCTCCAAATCAAAATTTGCAACAAATGTAGGGCCTTCACCTTCAACATCTCTAATTATAATCCCATTTGAAGCTTGGTTTGCATTAGTGGAATTTGAAAAGGGATTCAAGTTCTTCTTTCCTTTAGACACCTCTATTACTTTTTGTTTGCCTTTTTCAATTTGTTTACTTGCTGCACAATTGAAAGTCTCAAAATCAACATATATATGATTCATTTTCTCAATACCAACCACCAGCTCATCGTCATCCACATCACTTCCTAGCATGTCATGTTGAAATAAAGCCATTTTGCCATGCCTAGGGTGCATTCTACTTGACCCTTCACCAACTTTAATATTTACCTCATAAAGAAAAGGCCCTACCAAAGTTTCTACTCCAATTTCTCCTTACATGTTGGAGTGGTCAAGCTCCACCTATACATGACAAATTCCTAACTCCATTAATATTTTTGCAACCTCAATTATCTCTACATCACCATTTAGAGGCAGCAAACCACCTGCAAAAGGCAAGTCAAGAACTTTGTAATATAATGCCCTTACCGACTGAATCCTTACCTCATTTAGTTTATCAATGATATCAAAATAACACAGCTTGTCAATGTCATTAACTCTTAAATCATAGGTTTCACCTCCAACATAATGTGAAACATCTCTTCTAACATGTCCAACATAATGGATATAGATCTTAAATGGTACATCATCATCCGACATTGCTGTTTTTAAATGACAAAAATACACTAAAACAATAAATAAATCATCCCTAATATTGTTAAATATAACTATAAATTCATGGATTTCACCCCGAACTCCCCTTCTGTCAGTCCCTTTAGCATGTCCATACAAAACCCAAAACCCGTAGACCCACATAATAGTAAATTAATTAATAATTGCATACTTAAATCACAAAGTTTAGATTAATAGATGAACAAATCCCTAATACCGATTTCACTCCATGTGCTTTAAAACTTATTCAATGGTTGAATAATCAAGTCCACCTACCTCTTATGCATGAGATCAACTCGATATTGAAGAAGATTCTTCCAAATCTAGTCTAGTCGTCCTTAACGGTCCCTTCTATGTCTTTCTATGTCTTTGTCTACACCTTTTTTTTTTCCTTTGGTGAAAGCCTTTGTCTACAACTTTTTAGATCTACACCTTTTTAAAAGGTATTTCTAAATATATAAGACACTTTCTTTTGTTTTTGGGAAACTTTCATGTCAAATGGACTAAATGGTGGCAAAAATCCCACCCAAATGCTAAATCACTTGCCACGTAAGCATGACATGGCAAAATTTGCCACGCAAGCGAGTCCCCTAATGGCAATTAAGTTGGCTATAAGAAGAAGGGTGAAATTGCTTCGATCGCAAAGTTCAAGGACTTATATGTTTCAATTAAAGTTTGGGGGTTTAATAACGATTCTGGGGTTAGTTTAGGGGCTTAACTTATGGTTTTGCCTAAGTTAATTGGTTTTATACCTAGGAATATTCTATTGTATAGTTTTATACCTAAGAATATTCTATTATAGAGATCTATATATAGAAGTTTTGCATATACAATAAAAACAAGAAAACAATAAACTTTTCTTCAAATTATTCTTCTTGTTTTCTATTTCTAACAATCTCTTCTATTAAACCACAATTTCTTGTGTTGTTCAAATCAAAGTTCCTCCATTTCATACCTCCGATCTCCTAAGGAGTAAGGTATGTGAAAAGGTTTTACATTTTTGAGTTTTATTCTAATTCTCAATAGTTTCTTCCGTATTACTTCAACTTACTTGCCTAAACCATGAACTGAAAAGTAAAAAGCAAAGCACAGTAAAACTCTATTCAGATTGCATACTTTTCTCAGTTCTAAGGAACCTACTTATAAAAGATGCTTTCTTAATGTAGTGAAAAGATGCTGAATATTACCATAAAGGAGACTAGCATTATTCGCCCTGCTAGAGAAACACCAGGCAAGTGCTTATGGAACTCTGGCTTTGACCTGATAATGATGCCAAAGAATCATACGTCAGTTTTGTTCTTCTACAAACCGAACGGCTCCGTTGCTTTCTTCCAAGCTCAAGTGCTCAAGGAAGCTTTAAGCAATGTTCTGGTGCCATTTTACCCCATGGCTGGAAGGCTGGGAAGGGATGAGAGCGGAAGAATTGAAATAATCTGCAATGCCGAGGGAGCCTTATTCATAGAAGCTGAAGCTGATGGCGTTCTCAATGACTTGAGTGATTTTGCACCAAGCTCACAACTTCAACAATTAGTTCCAACAGTTGATTACTCCAGAGATATCTCCTCTTATCCGCTTCTTCTGATACAGGTATATCTTATCTTACCATACTAGGAGTACCATTATACAGATATGTTAATCAACGATAAAATATATATATATATATATACACACATACAAATATGTTAATCAAACCAGAAATGTTCCTGAGCCGATTGCTTCTATAGTTTTTTTATTTTTATTTCTTTTGAATCTAAAATTTTAAATCTTACTTTTTCATCTTGTAATTTTAAAATTTTAAATTATTAAACTCATAAACTTTTACGTATTAAATCTTAAACCTTAAAATATAAATCTTAACACATTAAATACTACATTTAAAAAAAATTAAATCCTAATATCATAAAATATAGAATTTAAAAAATCTAAATCCTAACTTTATAAATATAAAACTCAAAAAATTTAAACTCTAACACTTTAAATATTAAATTAAAAAAAATCTAAACACTAAATTAGGCCTAAACACAAAAATTTTAAAATTGTAAATCCTAAAACATTAGTTTAAGTTAGTATTAAAAAAAAGGTAAGGGAACAAAAATGAATTTAAATCGCTAAATGTAGGGACTAAATGACATATTTACCTTAAAAGAAAAAGGAAAAACTGTTCGACGTGGTAGACCGGCCAGGTAGGGGGTCGGCCCCCCTAGCATTTTTTTTTTTTTT